ATGCGTCGCGTTGTCAGATGTGATTTGGAGTGCAGGCGGGGAAAGAAGAAATAGAGGGAGGGTAACAAAAGATTGGTGGTACGAGCACTATCCTCAGGGCCTGTTTAGATACCAGTACGACCTTTCTGTTCCGTTTCCCTATACAAACGACCGTTTCCTTCCGTTCTGAAGGTGCCAAGACAACACATTCTCCCGCTACTCGAGTAACATCATCTATGAACGGAACGGTCAACCCGCCTACCGTTCCCGCCAGACAGGCCCTAAGCTATTGGACAATGTGAGAGAAGAATTCATTGTACTAAGGGGCCGTTTGGCGTTACCACTTTGTGTGGTTACCAACCATGGTTTGGCCTCAAAACCTGCTTATATAATCCATTTTAAGGGCCATAATTGGTCAGTTTTTATGCTTTGTGGCCAAACCATGGTTGGTAACCACACAAAACCGTAACGCCAAACGACCCCTAAGTTAAGAATAATATAGGATTGGTACTGCTCAGCATAGCCATCATAGGCTACTGATTCTTACCTGGGACAAGTATCATACCATGCCCTTAGTTAGTTCTTTAGTTCTGCTTTAGGTGGGGGGTGGCGACAGCGGAAGGGGAGACCACTTGCCGTGGGGGGTACTGTTGAGTGCGTTCATCGTCGGCTAAACTATGCTTAAGCGCAAACTAGGAGACGGTGCAATGGGGCCTGGGGCCTGGTACGTTTTATTCTTTCCCTATTGGTTGGCATCTGAAGGTGACTTGGTATAGAAAGAAGCAACCACCTCAATGCTACCCAGAATATAGGCACCCCCGCGTGTCCGCCTACTGCGGTATAAGTTACTACGGCATATGGGATACTGTTGGGATTGCTCCATAAAAGTTTGCCCGGAGAAAGTACCCAATTGGCCACAATGCTGCTGCTATCACTATCTTTATTTTGCGCCGTGATTTACAGGACAAGGGGGCTCGTGAGATGGTCAACAGTATGTAACTGGGAGGAAATTATCGGCTGGTCTAAGTCAATAGGGCATCTGAACTAAACTCAGAGGCCAGATTGGAGCCACGGCAATTGGCCCTCGGTCTAGAATAAACCCAAGGACATTCGATATTAGGGAGCAGTACCAGGGTAAACAAGCAAAGTGTTTTTTTGTTTTTTTCATCTCTAAAGATGCGCAGCAAGGCAACAATTCGCATTGGATAGTAGTATTTCATAGAGGTCTCATTAAAAACAAGGCAGTAAAGGGTGGGCCAACAAGGCTTCCGATCAATACAAATCCCCCCGTGGACATGTGGATAGTGCAAGGCGGGAGGGCGCACAGCTTAGGCGCTCCCGAGTTTAGATCGGGATATGCTTTTCGGCACGGCTTTCACTGCGAGATAGTTCTCGTGGCCTCTGGATTTCCACCTGCAATTACGGAAGGGTGCCGGCATCTTTCGAACTGCCCTGGGCCAATTGGAAAGGAAGCTACTCATTGGCTTGTGGGAGGGGAGCTGTTTGAGGGGGACGTGTGAGTTGGCCTCTCCTCTGACAGGCCAGATATGTACCTAGGTCAATCCATACACTGGGGTTAAACTAATGTGTACTGGGGACTAACTAGGTCTTGGTGGTTGGGCCCGTTTACACTAAAACCCTTTTCATTTTGAAGAGGTTTTAACCGGGCTTCTGCAATGAGCCTATACAGAAAGCTTTCGAGAAAGTACCAGAGTAGTTATACACGCATGTATAGATTATCCTCCGATTGTTCATAGAATCCTCTGATCTTCCCCATCATATACGACTAGTTGAAGATTGGGACATTGAGTGAGGTGTTTCAGGGGCCAATATTATTAGCAAATCGGTGACAATGGGAACTTTCAAGTGGTGGTAGAACTTTACTAGCTTGTAGGGCCTTCGGTCAGGCATGGGCTCCCTTTAGATTAACTGTGAGATGTTACACACAATGTAATGTGATAGGAGGACTCTAAATCAAGAATTCGGGAAAAGGGAGACCCAGTTTTCAATAAGCTCTGAATAGTTGAAATGAGGTTGCTGCCCATTTTAGTCCGAGGTTAACCAATCCTCAAGACTTTCACCCACATAGGAGACTTAGGGTGTATGCTTAAGTCTGTCGAATGCTAGTCTGTGTTAGTCTAAGTTAGGTGTTTATGTTTAGTAGTAGTGCACAAGTCAATGGCAAGGGGTTGACACAGTCCCATGAATAATTAAGGTTTAAGGTTTCGGTGTATTGCACTGTATTGTACTGTACACCCGAGAAGCCTGGCCCAGGGGGATCTATATTTCCCGTTTCCCACTTGCCTCGGTCAACTCTGATGAGATATAACTTATGGGTCAGGTATCTAGCTTCTAGCTTAATATTTCTAAGAAAGAACATTCTCAGGGCTCTTGCTGGGCGACGAAGGGATGTGTCCCCAGACGAGCTGCTTGCGGTGTATGATACCACTAATTTTAACCAAAGCATACATCTAGCCCTTAACCATGAATTATGTAGCTAGCAGCCCATTGCACAAATGTTCGAAGGAAAATGTATGTCGATTCCCTAAGGCTGCAACTAGAGCAAGCGTTCCTCTCTGAGTGGTTATGAAGGCACTCGACCAAGGTTGCAGCTAGGGTACTGCAACTGTGACCTCCGAAATGTGAGCCAGGGAACTTTTGGGCACTCATCCTGAGTGCCTGATAGCTCAACATCACTCAGGCTTTTGTAGCTTAGTACAATTTTTGTAGCTCAATGTCAATTTTAAGGCCTGACATGAGTTTATGAAAAAATGGAATCCTTCAAATTAATATAAAATTCCATAAAATAAATATCCTGTTTACTCAATCAATACTAACTTCACTCACCAATCAAGTATGCCTCCAGCCCCTCTGTCAAATTACCTATCCAGTAAGTATGATAGAACCATATAGTGATGTTGAGATCTGGATTCAAGTGGCACTCATCTCGCTTCATACATCTGGAGAGGTCACACTGAACATTGCTACTACTACAGCTTGCAAATATGAAATTCCTCTTTCTTACCTATGACATTAGTGGGAGGCCCATCAATCAAATCAAAACCAACCTCATAGCAACCACAAGCTTTAAAAGTAGATAATACAATTTTCATTAAGTTAGAAAAACAATATGAAAAGGTAAAAATGATGCTGAACCTGAAGAATAAACCGTATAAAGTCTTATAAATTAGATGTAATTGCAAAACTAACCTCAAGTCACAAAAGTGACCTTGAGTCACAAAAATCAGGACCCACAAAGTTGAGCTGTCAGGCACTCAGGATGAGTGCCCTCAAAGTTCACTGGCTCACATTTCGGGGGTCGCGGTTGCAGCACCCTATCTGCAACCTTGGCAGAGGAAGCTTTGGTAGACTTACACTTCTTACCCTGCACGGCCACCCCTAGTACGCTGATCATCTACCTGTATTGGTGCTCGAGTTTCGGGGCTAGACCGTGCACACTCGGTGAATCGCCGTTTTAGGGTCCCAGTATGTGGAAGAATGAATTCCCTTTCACCCAGGTACTGCGCTGTAATGTACTTCGTACAAGCACTAGACTGGAGAAGCGCCTATCACACGCAGGCCATACTTGAGGGCGCTTGCCATGATTTTTCCCATAGTTCACGTTGCAAATAAAGTCTCGGCGTTAACAAAAAAAAAGTAACGCCTATCGCACAGTACTGTACTAGTGCAGTACAGGTTACCCGCGTTGGGTATATGGTTGGTAGGAGGGAGGTAGCGAACACATGAAGACCCGGGAGCGGTCATCGATAAGGGTTAGGGTTTGGGTGACACTGCACTCCTGCGACGACGCAATTTCGCCTGCATGAACGCACAAAAAGCTCTCTTTAAGTTGCAGAACTGTTGCGTTATTCGCTGTAGGTTTAGTGGTTTGTCAGTTCAGAATGTGTTTTGGGTAGGGCTGGGGGGTTGCGGAATTAAGGTAATAGGTGTTAAGGTATACTGGAGGGTGTGTTAAGTGGGTTTCTTGGCAAGGCAGCAGCTTCAAAACACATTTTAAATCAATGAAGGACTTAATCAACAGTGAGCCAAACGGAGACTTACTTCCTCCCGATCCGCCAGCTAGTCAACACGGGAGTTGCTTGGGGAATGGCCTTGCCGATGTATGCCTGGGGACTTTG